ATGCGAGCACAGCCGCCGCCGCGAAGCGCTTTACGTGAGGGATTGGGCTGTGTAATGGTGGCAGCTCGGGGAGCGGGTCTTATTGCGTCGGAGGAATCAATAGTAAAACTAATAATTATTATGATAAATTCAACACACCGTTGAAGGTTTGGAACTTTTGGGCGGCCAACTCTAGCATAAGCGCGGACAAGGATTATAACGAAAGTACAGATGTCATCGGGGGGCGGGGTTATCAACAGGGGAGAGGGGTATGCACCTATGCTTTACGTGACGTACCGCAGGCTCGTATGAAATGGTGAAATCTAAGTAAATAAGAAGGAAAATAATAAAAACATTAAAATTTTACTGACCTCGGCATCTTGTCAGCCGAATATGCGACATCATTTCGCACATTATTGAATATTATTTAGCTTTCAATAGACCGAGTAGAAAATTAGTACATATTTTATTTCATTACTCGGCTTTGTATTTCTTAATCTGTGTCAATTAAATATTCGACGATACTGAAAAAATTACGTTTTAACACTTATACTCTCAATTAAACAGCTTGGAGGACGAGGTGCATAAGTGCACCTCGCCCGCCCCCCCCCTCCGGTCGACCATCCCTCTAAGGTGATTCTCCCCTTACTATGTACCATGACTAAATTAATAACAAAATTTATTTCAAAAATAGTCGAATATTCGTGAAAAAGGGTCACACTAATCGAAATTCAAGCCAAAATTTACACAAAGTAAAAAATGTCAAATTTGACACAATTCCATAAAAACCCTATAAAGGTCTTATACCTTCAGTTAAATTTTGATGTAATATGGGTTTTGAAAAGAAAATTTCATGCTCTTTCCATTGGTGCCAACAGTTTTGAGAGAAAAAAATCTGCCGAAGCTGTATTTTAAAAGTTACAAACCAAACTTGAAATTTCAAGAAAATTCTAGCCTTTTTTTTTCGGTGTCGGACCTTGTAGCTCGGCACCAACAAGTCAAAATTTAAAAAATTAATATATATTTGTAAGCAAAATTTTATCCTCTAAAAAAACGACAAGAATGATTTTTTTCACTGGATGCACTAGAATTACGCAAAATCGGGAAAACGCTGACGAAGTCAAGAATCAATTTATACGTAATTTCAGACGGCCGCCATTTTGTTATAAGCAATTTTGACTGTGTTCCCGAGGGGGGCTAATGGTAAACTTTTTTTGGGGGGCACAAGACATGTTTTGGAGCGCTTTAAAACACAAGAGAAGTTTGTGCTAATTTGTCCGAGGTTAGGCCCTTTTTTTGGCTAGAATGACTGGACTACAAGCAATATTTTGACTTACAATTTAAAAATGATCCCTAGAAAGTTTTATGGCGTCATATGTTTAAGTTATCTATCAATAAAATACAATTTAAGATGAAATCAGGCAGCCAGTGGCTAAAGGTGGCGACACAGATAGGCTGATAGTTGTTAAACTCTTCTCCGGGTGTCCTAAAAGTCCGTACCCCCCCCCCCCCCCCCNTTCTGAACGGTTAGAGATAGAAAAACGAAACTTTGGGAATGTTTCTATCTTAAAGGGGTCCATCTTCTAGGGGGGGTCAAAATTTTGGCCCCCCCCCAACTTTTTTTTTTCAAATAGTAACTCCTATCTTGTGATACATGAATTACCCGCCACAGCAGTTAGTTTTACATCTTGTCATTTAAAGTAACTGCTACAGCGGGTAATGGACATGTTGCATGTGTGAGGAATTTGCGATTTGACTGTTGATTATTATGTAAAAGTTCGCGAGAAACACGATGGTGCCCCTGGTTTTCTTTGAAATCAACTTCCAAGCTCAAAAAAAGCTCTCAAGTTGAGGCCAAAATGGAGGGGATATCTCACGCTATCCTGAAGGCCCACATCTACATCAAGACAAACTCTCCATGCAAAGATATAGGGAGCAAATACATTGACAGGGCTGCCACCTCATTTGGGTACTCTAAAACTGATATCACGGCAACCCTGTCAATGTATTTGCTCCCTATATTAGCATGGAGAGTTTGTCATGATGTAGAGGTGGACTCTCAGAATAGCGTGGGATATCCCCTCCATGTTGGCCTCAACTTGAGAGCTTTAGTTGAGCTGGGGAGTTAATTTCAGAGAAAACCAGTGGCACTATCGTGTTTCTCGCGAACTTTTTCATAAGAATCAACAGTCAAATCGTAAATTCCTCACACATGCAACATCTCCATTTAGCATTTTATAAGTTCTCGCACACTTTCACTACATTCGGAATGTTAAATCAACTTCAATTTTTTTCGGTGTATGTAACGGCAGAGCTTGTAGATTGCAATTCCAATATAGTCTGTGAAAGAGGAGGTCTGACCTATCCGGAAGTGTACAGAGCCATCAAAAATACCTATCTTGCGACGGAGGGGGTGTATCCGTATGTAGGGACTGATGGACATCCTTGTAACCAAAACAACGTCGAGGAGGGCGTTGCCAGCTTGTCGGACTACCGAAACCCTACAACTGAAAGCGCCATAATAACAGCTCTTCGGAATGGTCCGCTACCTTCGAGGGTGGTTGGAAGCTACTTACGCGTAAGTTCGTTGATGCTAAAATACTACACTTATGATATCCCTACCATATTTTTCCAACCGTTTATACAAAATTAAATTTTTCTTGAAAAAATGAGGGAGCTACTCGTCCTCGGTCTAAAACTTGAAGAATGCGGGCTCATATTTGTGTAGGTTACTAACCGCTACACAATGGACCGAGTCAATAGGAGAGATCCAACAGAATTTGGAAACTTTAAAGCTTAAAATTCCATTTATACTAAACTTTGAGCTTCTAAAAGTGGCTTTATCAGTTCTCTCATGAAATTTTCTTCCATAGGCACCTCTTAATAACATTTGGCAAAATAAATCAAAATTTGCAGTTTCGGTCAACAATTGGACGTATTTCTGCCAAACGGAACTATGTGCATTATGACGTGAGCCCTGTTATGCATATATTCTTAGGGGTCTCAGGGCTCATGTCTTAATGCACATAGTTCCGTTTGGCAGAACTGCGTCCAGTTGTATGTTTGACCTCTTTAACTGACTCAATCCAATGTGCGCCGGTGCAGGGTGCGACATAACTCGATCTTGTAGTCCGGAGAAAATAAATAGCTGACCTCAAACAAATTGCAACAAAGGGTTTCTTTACACCAAAATTTGCAGAAAATCACGGACAATCCGAATTTGCTAAGCTCGCCAAAAGCCCGCCCGTTTTTCACCCCCAAATCCCCCAAAATCAAAAAAATTCAACGGAAAGTCGCTGCCAAGTCTGTAGGGTTCGTTCTGAAGATACTTATTCGTCATATAACGTAACATAGTCATATTTCCTTTAAAAATGATGTATGAGATGATCCAAATTCCAAAAGTCAACCCCCAAGGGATGATATGTAGATCAGCGTCATCTTGAGGAGCGTGAATAGAGACGCATCCCGATTCTTGTAAATGATCAGCCAGCGAAACTAAAAACTTTTGTTTATTTTGGACATTGGATAAGAAAACTTTCTTTGTCATGGTCAAATGCGCACTATCTTTAAAATCGACAATTGGTCTTATTTTCCCCATACCTCTTTTTAAATGCGTCATATCTTTCGTTGAGAAATTTGCCGAATATCTGTCAAAAACGATAGTGGCTTTACCAAAATTTTTTTGTACATACTCAAAGTACTGTTCGAATAAACGTTTGAAAGTTGTATTACGAGGCCAGGGAAGCATATGAAGGAGATGCCAACCGTCTATGACGTAAGAAGTTTCTGTACTGGAACTTTCAATGTGTTCTTTTACATCGGCTATTTTCATAATAGTAGTGACTAAATCAGGTTTTTTCGGAGACCTCAGCAACCCTGAAACCTGTAGTTAGCTTCCTCGATATATTTAATTCAAATATGTAAAGAAGTTATTTTCGATTCGTTAGCTATTTGGAGTTATAAGTTACAGTTATTCAAGGGGATGGGGGAGGGGGTTGCAAAGTGAAAGTCAATGTGAGAAAATTTGATTACGAATATTTCGCTAAACACTAACATACTTCTCTCAGATCATACGTTTATAAAAACTGATGATCATATTTCAATAAGCTTTTGCTCGTCCTTAAATGCACCCTGTTTTTGAGATATTTTATGCCTTGGGGGTTGATTTTTGGAATTTGGATACATCTCATACATCATTTTTAAAGAAAATATGACTATGTTACGTTATATGACGAATAAGTATCTTCAAAACGAACCCTACAGACTTGGCAGCGACTTTTCGTTGAATTTTTTTGATTTTGGGGGATTTTGGGAGTTTTTGGGGGGTTTTGGGGGTGAAAAACGGGCGGGCTTTTGGCGAGCTTAGCAAATTCCGATTTTCCGTTATTTTCTGTGAATAATGGTGTATAGAAACCCTTTATTGCAATTTGTTTGAGGTATCCCCCCCCCCCCCCCCCGTAACGAGGCAAATCCCGTTTCTTCAGAGGCACATACGTCCTTCTGGAATAAGATAAGCCAACGTTACTGTAGTTGCCGGAATGAGCTCGCCGGGATCCTGGATTCGGGCGCCAATTTAAAAATGCGAGAGTTTGAAAAGGGGAAGAATGATCAAAAATCTCGTGTCTCGAATTTACAAAAAGAATGTCCGTTTATTAGCTAAATTTGTGAGGATCCTACTCAACTCAAAATAATTTAGCCGAAATGCCACTCACTAACGTGCACCTCAAGGCTTATACGTTAGGTAATATTTTACAATCGACGATAAAATCCTAAAAATGAAATCAAAATAAAACGGAAGCCGAAATGCTACTCACTAACGTGCACCTCTAGGCTTATGCGTTAGGAAATATTTTACAAATGACGATAAAATCCTGGAAATGAAATCAAAATAAAAGGAAAGCCGAAATGCTACTCACTAACGTGCACCTCTAGGCTTATACGTTAGGAAATATTTTACAAATGCAATTAAAATAAAAGGGAAGCCGAAATGCTACTCACTAACGTGCACCTCTAGGCTTTAGATTCCAGGAGTACAGGATACAGGATACAGGATCGAAGTGAGAGGGGAGGAAGAGTGAAACTGGGCGAGATGCGACTCACTAACGTGCACCTCAGCTCAGGAGAAGAAAAAAGAGGAAATTGAAGTGGACAGTTCGCTCGGCGAGATGCGACTCACTAACGTGCACCTCAGCCGAAAAGATGTAGAATAGAAGAGAGAGGAGAGAGGAGGATCGAGGATGTAGGATCACATTTTGACTC